TGTGTGTGTGTATATATATATATATATATCCATTTGGGCATTACTGCACAGCCAAGTATCAGTGCAAACTGCATGATGAAAGAGTCAGTGGTGAAATGAGTAAATAATTTGAATGATTCTAACCAATGCATGTATTATACTTCTCTACAGGGCCCTCTCGAGGTGGCCCAGGTGTTTCTGTCTGAGATCCCTAGCGATCCTAAACTCTACAGGCACCATAATAAACTACGACTGTGCTTCAAAGACTTCACAAAGAGGTTTGATTCCAGATGCTCTCACACTACATTAACATTAATTAACTACTAACCCTAGTGACTTTTTACATCACATTAATCATGAAATATTACAGTATGTATACAGGTTAACTATTATCCCAAAAAGAACTGGTTTATTGCAGTCCATGTAAATGTTGCTGCTTTTGTATGGTTGTATGACAAAGTTATTTTAATTGTTAAATGGTAATAATACAGTGGTCAGTAATACAATCAGAACTTGGAATTGCCTACATGGAAAAATGCCATGTGACATTTGAACTGACTTCCCTTCAAGGGACTTTAATTAAACCCTGTAACCTTCAATAACCCCCCCAAGATGTGAAGATTCCCTTCGCAAAAATAAGAGTCTGATTGGTCCAGACCAGAAAGAGTATCAGAGGGAGCTGGAGAGGAACTACCACAGATTGAAAGAAGCTCTGCAGCCTCTCATTAACAGGAAGATCCCACAACTCTACAAACCTGTGTTACAGGTCAACTCACACAGGTCAGACAATTAAAATGATGTCAAAAGCTGTTAAGAATGTCCTGTATACGTCACCTTGTGCCCGATAAACTAGCTTACTGCAGGAACTTGGTTTACCAAACTAACGTTTGAATGAATGAATAATGGTGGGAGCTGCCCCCTCAAGTCTTAATATTTTCATTAATATTTTAGTAATACATCATCAAATGGTTCACTGTAAAGCACACATTTGTTAAAGAGTTTCTTTAATATGAAAGCAAAATTGTCATTTAAATTGTAACGCAAATATTGCAGAATGAATAGAAATTCCATCATTGAATCAAATTGAATTGAGGCCTTGTGAATTATAAAACTACAAGTCAGGAAATGGGCCTTCATAGCCTGGTCTATTTTATGAAATACGTCAACAGCAATGTATGATTACTTGGTTGCTCATAATGTTTGACACATGGATAAACTTCGTGTTACATCATTTTCCAAAAAGGTGTTTTAAATGTACTTAATTTCTTTTTTTCCGTTTTAACAAGCAGCAAAAGGACAGCTTGAGAAGGTAGTCAAGTTGTTCGCGAGCATATTTAAAAAAAAAAAACTGTTGTTGACCATTAAAGTTTTGTTTCCTCAGGAATATTTTTTAATCCTTTTATAACATTAAAGTTTTTCTTTTTCTTTCAGAGACTCTTTTAGCAGAATGAGCCTTCGCAAGCTAGACGTGTGAAGACAGAAGAAATAAAAAGAACAAATGCAGTTTTATTTATTTGTATATATCAATCCTCCTCACAATATCAGTGTTTCTGCCATAAAGTAAAAAAAAAAAAAGAGAAAAGGGTTAAGACGTTTGGTACATCATTCCAATTTTGTATTAGTTTACAAAATGGCCTGTTACATGATCATAAGAACTGATGATGAATTTAGCATACAATGTGTCAAACCTGTATTCAATTACTGTGTGCA